AGCATCTGCAGTTCCTACTATCTCTGATTCAAAAAAAAATCTCTAATCACATTGTATAGCTGGATCTGATTTAATAAAGTTTTGCTATGCTCTCATCAACCCAATATGTTCAAGAGTGTTAATCGTTCTGATTCCCATGGAAGTCCCAAAGTGTTCTTTAATCACTGACTAATCTCAAGAATTTTGTCTCGAAGTGAAAATGGCAAGGCTAGGATCTGTGGAACAGAGGAAGCTGAAAGGAAAACTAACTGATGTGTAAAGAAATTGAGGTGTCTAAATACAGAGACAACACCGTGTGGAGCTGGAGGAGCACAGCAGGTCAGGCAGCATCAGAGGAGCAGGAAAGTTGACGTTTCGGGCCAGGACCCTTCTCCTGAACCTTCTGAAGAAGGTTCCTGACCCGAAACGTCATCTTCAGAAGGTTCAGAAGAAGGATGCTGACCTGAAACGTCAACTTTCCTGCTCCTCTGATGCTACTGGTCTGCTGTGTTCCATCCAGCTCCACAGTGTTGTCTCTGACTCCAGCATCTGTAGTTCTTGCTATCTCTGAGGTGTCTAAATAGTGTCTGTTCACCTGGGTTGCGGAGTCCATTACAGGGAGCTTAGATTTATAACAAGAGGGAAGTGGTTTGTGGGGAAGCGTCTTGACCCAAAGAGAAGTGGAGGCCCTACTTTCAGACCTACTGTCTGAAAGTGTGCTCGAGGCGAAAACTCTTACCACATTTAAGAAATTCTTGGCTATATATGCAAAGTGCTGCAACATAAAAGGTTATAGACTTAGAGGTGGAAAGTGGGATTAGACTGGATGGCTACTTGTTGGTCAGCATGGACGCAGTGGGCTGAACCACCTCCCTCTGTGCTTTAGATTTCTATGATTCTACGCTTTCACTAAAAAGTTCTCCTGCAGGCGGGTTAAGATCATCCAGTGTCTGTGTACGGGTTCAGATCTGTGTTCCTTTCTGCCCCAGCTCTTCTCAGAAAAGGCAGTCTTCAGTGTTTCCCTGTCCTTGAGGCTGGAATGCAGGGCGATTGCAACAGAGGGGGAGGGTTCAAAACTACAGTAATGGCTGAAGCTAACACCTCTATGCACAAAGTCTCTCTGAAAACGGGAATTTGATTGGAGCCAATCATTGCAAAAACAACTTGTATTTATATTGCACCTTTTCACTAATAAAACACTTCAAAGCACTGTACAGAAACATTCTAAAACAAAACGTGACACCGAGCTGCATGAGAATACCAATCAGATGACCAAAAGCACGCTCTGGGAGAGAGGCTTCAAGAAATTGGCAGAGAGGTGTAGGGAGGGAATTGCAAAGTTGCTAGCCCAGACACAAGCTGAAACTATGGTCATCATTGGGTAGGCCTATTAAAATTGGGAGGTCAGAAAAGGCCAGAGTTAGAAGCGCGCAGAAATCCTGGAGATAGTTCTTTGGGCTGGAGAAGATGACAGAAATGGGGAGATGAAAGGCCAGGGAGGAATTTGAAAATATTAGAATCCTCCACTAATTATTAAAAGTTAAGATGCTGCTTGACTGGGATCCAATGTGGGTCAGTGACCACAGGGTAAAAGGTGACAGGGATTTGCTGTGAGTTAAGACAAAAATAGCAGATTTTTGAATGACTTCGAAGTTTATGGAAGATGGAATGTGTGCAAGATCAGCCAGGAATACACTACAGACGTCAGAACCAGAAATAGCAAGAGCATGTGTGAGGGCTTCCAAGAGCAGATGAGCCAAGACAGGGTGAAATTGAGTGATGTTATAGAAGTGAAACTCGCTGGTTTTCAAGATGGTTTAAGTCTGGGTTTCTGGGTAAAACCAGGTCATCCGTGGTCTTATTGAATGGTGGACTAGGTTTGAGGGGCTGAATGCCCTGTTCCTACTCTTTGATATACATAAATCTGCTTCATTCAGCATTTTTAATTGCAGGAAATTCTATGAGGTGTATGGGAATGGCCCAAGACCTTTTGACCTCACACGATCCAATTTTGTTTCCAGTTGCCAAAGGTAAGGACAATTCTTGTTTGTACTCCCACCTTCCTCGTTGGCCCAAACTCAGCAGTTGATTATTGTAATTCATTAATTGGATGTGGGCATTTATTGCCCATATCCCTAATTACCTTTGAGAGGGTGGTGGTGACTTGCCACAATCCATGCGGTGTAGGAGTACGCACTGTGCTGTTAGGATGAGAGTTCAAAGATATTTGACCAGCGACATGATAGAATAGTGATGTATTTCCAAGTCAGGATGGTGAGTGACTTGGAGGAGTGCTTGCAAGGGTTGGCGTTCTCATGAAGGGCTAACTTGGCAAGTGCTGGCTCTGTGCATCAGTGGTGGAGGGAGTGGATGCTGAATGTGGCAGATTGGGTGCCAGTTAAGTGGGCTGCTTTGTCCTGGATGGCGTCGAGCTTCTTGACTGTTGTGGGGAGTATTCCATCACACTCCTGACTTGTGCCTTGTAGATGGTGGACAGGCTTTGGGGAGTCAGGAGGGAAGTTGCTTGCTGCAGAATTCCCAGCCTCTAACCTACACTTGTAGCTACAGTGTGGATATGACTGGTTCAGTTCAATTTCTGGTTAATGGTCACTGCCTCAGGATGTTGATGAAATCTATAGATTAACCAAGGGGTGACTACTATTTGTGAAGCACCACAAATTAGCTGTGGAATGTGGATTTACAGTGTCCATATTGGCCGCATTACTGCACAGTCTCAGTTTGGAACTTTGCCATGAGGGCTTGCTTCTCTGGTGTAATCGCCAATCACTGATCCTTTTCCTCTGGCCTGAGAATGACACAGGTGGATAGTCTAATCTCTAACCCTCATCTCCAGCTAACCCCCCCCCCCCCAAGTTAGTCTATTTGTAGCTCTTTCTGGTCCCCCTGAATCTTTAAAAATAAAATTGTTATCAAATTAATTGAATGCAGCTACATAAATAACTCGAGAAAGTGACAAGTTCGATGCTGCAACAGTTTGCCCGTTAGATGGTTTGAAATAAATTGAAGTAATCATACCAAACGTATGACGAAGATAAATGAGCAAAAATGGGGGCCTCTTCATTTGCAGATATAATCAGATAGTGTTAACTGGGAGATCTAATGCGTACGTCTGATTTCCACCGATGCGGATTGTAGGCTCAGCAGGTTCAGGATTGTTACATGGCATTTTATGTCAAAGTTGTAATGATTTTGAGTAATTTTAGTTACATCTTTTTTGTTTTGTTATTACACACCTCTGGAGCAGGTGAGACTTGAACTCAGGCCTACCAGGTTTCACAAGAGCCTTCTCCTGACAAGCTTGTACTGAAGTCCTTTTTTTCCCCCTCCAAATCACCCATGGTTATATATTTTTTGTATAGTGAAACGAAACAAAAAGACACCGTTGTGAATAGACTTTATTACATTTTTTTTTTTCCCTTTTTCTTCTCCACCACCAGAAAAGCACCTGTGGGGCCAATTGAATATTTATAAGCAAAGTCTGTTTAGGGCAAAGCTAGCAGCAAAAACTGAGAGGGCAGCTGTAAGGAGAGGGGGAGGGGTCTAAATCAAAGTGGGGTCAGAGGGCAGAATAAAGCGCCGAATCTCCTGCTGTGCCCACCTCTCTCCAAAGGCATCGAGAGCATTGATGGACACCGCGTGCTCCCTCTCCAATGACACCTGGGCTCGAACATAACCGCGGAAGAGGGGCGGGCAGTTGGCAGAGATGGCCCCATCCCACAGCCCACTGCCTGGACCTGTTCATAGCCAGCCTGGCCAGGCCCAGGAGCAGACACACAAGGAGGTCCTCCCATCTGCCCACGCCCCTCCGCACCGGGTACCCAGAGATCAGGAGTGTGAGGCTGAGGTGCAGCAAAACATTTCTCAAATAAGTGAAAATGGAGTACAAATGCCCACAGCCAACATATACATAGTCCAAGGGCTCCACAGCGCTGCAAAATAAACAGGTGGGCTGGGCATGCAAGATTCTCCACCCCAGGTCCTTGATGGAGAGGAGGAGGATTTCAGTGTAGGGACCCCCTCCACTTGGGAACCCTGCACCCCCTGGCAGCAAATCAGCATCACAAGGTGTGTAGTTACACTCCTTGAAGGAACATATACGTTGTATTGCAACATAAATGATGGCGAATTAAGAGCAAAATGCAATCGAGTGAGACTAATGGATTGCTCTTTGAAAGACCTGATGACCTGAATGGTTGTCTCCTGTGCTGCACCAGTCTTTGTTGCTGCATCTGTCTCCTGGGCCAACTCCCATGTGAGCTGACTGCTTTGTTTCATTTGTGAAACCCTTGTTTATCAGCGTTGGCAGCTTTGTTAATTTACAAACAAATCTTTTCCCACAAGTAGAGTCTCAAACTTGGCAGAAAACCTTTTTGGGAAACCATTTCCGGTCTAGGTAAAGTCTGCCTGAACCTGGGATCAGCTGTATAAGTGTCCCGTGGTTTGTTTTTCTTTTTTTTTTTGCGTGAGATTCCTGTCTCTGCAGTTGGGAGCTCTCTCATTGTCTGACCCTCCTTTTGCTAGATTTGTGGAAAAGTACCAGGAGCTGGAGGCACAAGGTGAAGTGGATGAAGAGAAGTTGTTTGAGGCCACTAGCCGGGCACTCCTAGTGGATGGAATTGTGTTGCGAAGGAGAGGCAGAGCAGGAGTGAGTATGACCCGAATTTGTTTACACCCTGAGTGTTGGTGCTTAGATGTGGTGGTTTGGAAAGGACAGATGCTATCCAGTCAACTTTACTGAAGGTCAGGGAATCAAGCTTCACTGCAGAGCCTTGAGGTGTAATCCAGAACCCCACAAAGATCTAGGACTGCAGGAATGTTGCTTTGTTAGAGCTGCTGTTAGTTAATCTGTGAACCATCCATCTGGCAGAGCTGGCCTGTCTTCCACATTGCTTCATTCATGTTACTCAGCGCAGTAGAAGTGCAGAGTACCTTCCCCTTCCTCAGACCGGCACCCTGCCACATGGAAATTCGTTCTATTCGAGCAGTTGAACTGAACCCAATGAACAAATGGAGGCCTCTCAAACGGGCACATTAACAAAAATCAAATCCCCAAATGAACTTGGTAAAATTTAAACGGGAGATTGGTTGTGGGAAAAGCCAGCAATGCCCACCAGTCATGGAAGGCCTAGTGCACTAGTGAATACCACATGCTCCTTCTGTAGAGGCACCTGGGTGCGAATGTAGCTCCAGAAGAGAGGCAGGCCATCAAGCTGAATGGCCAGCTCAACTACGCAGTGCTTGGTCCTGTTTATGGCCAGCTTGACCAAGACTGATTCTTTTTGCTGTTTAGCTATGCAATACAAGGTCTGGTTCTTACAGATATTTCTAGTCAACCTGTTCAAAGATGTTACCGTACGCATCTGGACCAGTGGGACTTGGACCTGGGTCTCTAGCTCAGAGGTAGGAGGGACTACCACTACACAGAAGGGCCCGAAAGACTGGTTCTTGTAAGCATGTCCTAGTCTTTCCCCAGTTAGGATCGGCTGCTGTGAATCACAATATACATACTCCAGTGAGACAGCATATACATGTTAGATGAAGGGTCTAGGCCCGAAACGTCAGCCTTTCTGCTCCTATGATGCTGCTTGGCCTGCTGTGTTCATCCAGCTCTGCACCTTGTTGTCTCATATACATGTTAGTACTGTCTTCAGGATATAACTCTAAAGCGAGACCCTGCCTGGCCTCTTAGGTGCTTGTAAAGGATCCTGTGGTATGGCTGGAGGATGAGCAGCGTAGATCTCCCAGTTGTCTTGGTCAAAGTTGATCCCTCAGTTGTCACTGAAAACAGGTGACTGGGCTATTGGTTTGATCATTGTTTGAGAGAGCCAGCTGCGAGCAACTTAATTCATCAAAATAGAGCCAGCATCCACTGTTCTCTAACCACCCCCACAAAATAATTTGTGATTTTCAGATTTCAAAATTTGTGAGTGACGATCCCCAGGATGCCAAGACACGAAACCCGGTGTTGGACATGAAGCTGCAGGACCTGTTGAAAGGGATGCAGGAGGAGCAGCAACAGCAAGCTCAGGAGAAGAGGCAGCTCCAGTCACAAGAAGAGACACCGTCGCAATGACAGACGCCTGCTCTCAAGATGATCACAAACTGTTTTGTGCAAGTGGAAATGAACAACAGCACCCCCCCCCCCCCCCCCGCCCACTAAATCCAGGGATTGCCCCTGAAGTGTTAATGCATCCTATGAGAAATTATTCCCGAGCGTTGCAGTCTGTTTAAATTGGAAAATCTGACTATCGATGTTTATTACAAATCAGTCTGTTGAAGAGCATCGGGTCCAGCTCCTTCATTAAATTGTGAGCTAGTTAAATATAACCTGTTATTCAGATTAAAAAGAAATCCCAGTTCTATGTAAAAATTGATTGGAGTGTTATTGACAGTTTATTTTTCCAAATAATTTATTTAAGGAAAATGAGCCTAGGTAGCCATGTGCTCAAAGAGTAGCTTCAGTGTTAATGAAACATTTTGACATGGGCTAAAGTCGCAGTCGTAACGTCCTCTTTCACTCCCCCAAACCCACTGTCAGAAATACAACTGCATGTTTGTACAACAAGTTATAAATATATTTTTTTGGAATTAATGTCCTTTCTCTTCCGTTTGCTTCTCTGGGTCACTGTTTGGTGACTGAGGTACACCAGCAACTTGACGAAACAATCACTTTTTTCATTTGGGAGCTGAGGCATGCAGTGTCGGAGGTTTCTGGAGCACAGTCTACAAATCAAAACAAATCTTGGATGTTGGTACAGTGTGAGAAATGACACAATGGCGCTTCCAGTGCTGTCACTGTCTGTCTGAATACTGCACTGGTAGAGTTACGAAGGAGGCATTGACTATTTAATTGAGTTCTTTGTTGCAGTATAGTTGTGTGAGGACACTGTCTTTGACTGCACTGTGCATCGTGACCCCCAGTGGGCTTGCATATCGAGCAGCAGTTAGATTCGCAAGCTCTGAGGAAGTGCTCCTGGCTGTGGGGCAGACACTTGGATTCAACAGCGGTGAGATTGACTGAGAGTTTAAGTTTGTGCAATCTCCAAAATGGTAGTTAGCTAGTGGCATTTTGTGACCGGTCCTTGCCCCAGGTTTCACTCTGGGGCCACACCGAGTATGAAGCTTTATGGTGGAGCTACAGCAGATTGAAGTTTGAGAAACTTGTCTTACATTGTTGCTGCCCAAGTATCTTGAAATCTGAAACACTTTGACCATAGATTGCAGTCATTTCTTTTGGCTTTTTCAAATATTAAAGAGGGTCTTTTTTTTCCCCCTCCAGTCATTCTTTTAGGCTTTTTGTTTCTGCCCACTTTTGACATTGCGTGTTTCCTTTGTTCACCCACCTGCTACATCAATGCCTATGTTACCTCTACACTACTCCAGTACACTCCACATCAGTTCCATCTACTGCTGTTTGAAACCTTGAGCGCATCCAAACTCTGCTGCCCACATCCCTACTGGCAGCAAGTCCCTTTTGCCTGTAACCTCTGTGCTCGATAGCCCTCGCTGATCAGCACCTTGATTTTAAAATTCTCATCCTTGTTTTCGAACCTCTCTATCACCTTGTGCCTGCTCCTGATTTTCAATCCCTCTCCCTTTTTGGCTGTACGTTCAGCTAGTCCCAAAATTTTGCAACTCCCTCCCTAAACCTCTGTCTTTCAATCTCCCTCAGTCTCCCCTCACAATCTAGCTCCTTGACCAAGCTTTTAACCAGCCACTTCAATACTCCTGAGTGATTTGACATCAGGTTTTGTTTGTGATGTTTGCTACAATAGATGTGCTATATAAATGGAAATTATTCATTTACAGGTTTTGGTCCGTGTTAGCTAGTGTTCAAAACACACAAGATGCTGTTTAACCCATTGGTGAGGCCTCTTCTGAAGTACTGTGTCCAGTTGTGGTCGCCCAGTGATAGAACAGCAATTTTAAGCTAGAAAGGGTTCAGAAGAGATTTACCTGAATGTTGCTGGGAATGGAAAGATTGAGTTACAAAGAAAGGCTAGGACCTTTTTCACTGGAGTGCAGGAGGTTGAGAGATGACCTTATAGAGGTTTATAAAATCATGAGGGCTGTAGATAGGGTTAATGGTAGGCGTCTTTTCCCTAGAATAGGGGATTTCAAGACTAGCGGGCATATTAAAGGTGAGAGGAGAGAGATCTAAAAAAGACGTGAGGGGCAAATTTTTTACATAGAGGGTGGTTCACGTGTGGAATGAACTTCCTGAGGAAGTGGTAGATGCAGGTAGTTACAATGGTTAAAAGACACTTAGGTAAGTAAAAGATAGGAAAGGTTTGGGCCAGGAGCAGGCAGGTGGACCTAGTTTAGTTTGGGATTATGTTTGGCATGGATTGGATGGGCTGACGGGTCTGTTACTGTGCTGTATGACTTCCACTTCAAGATGAGCTCAGACTAGGTTAGCAACACAGCTGGCTAACATCTGTCTGAGAGGTCTAAGGACATTTTTAAAATCCTCTTGTGGAACGTGGCATCACTGGCTAGTCCAGCATTTATTGCCTATTCCTAGTTGCCCCAGTGAGCTACCGCCTTGAATTTAGTGTGAGGTGAACTTACTGCAATGTATTTTTGTTTAAAACTCTCATTCCCTTCAGACTGGCTGCACTAACTAATTAAATAATTACTGAAGTGGAATTAATTCATGGAGTAACATTCTCTGGCCTTTATTTTTTTTAATATAAAGCAATCTAATTATCTCTGTGAGACCTTCCCCTGTACCGTATATATAGTACCACAGACCTGGACAGGCCACTGTTAGCTGGATTGTGATTACTAATGAAAAGACTATTGTCCAGGGGGAGAGCTTTACTGTGATTGTTGGCTGTAAAGCAGATCAAGTACGATGTTTCTCTGCCTCGGAGGCTAGGGATACTCAGCTGATGAGAAAACGTACAAGGTAGGGGGAGATTTTTGGGAAAGTCAAGGTTATCGGACACTTGAGATCAGAGACCTGTTATATGTGGAATAGTGGAGCAGGCCCAAGTTGTCTGTTCTATATGAATGTACAAATTAGGTGCAGGAGTAGGCCATTCGGCCCCCCATACCTGCTTGCTATTCAATAAGGTCGTGGCTGATCTGATTTTGGCTTCAGCTCCTCTTCCCTGCCTACCCCCAATAAAGCTTTGAGTCCTTTGTTAGTCAGGGATTTAGGTTTAAAAGAAAAATAATTGTACTCTAAACATTAATTTCTCTGTCCACAGATGCTGCCGGACTGGCTGCTGTTAGTGTTTTTATATCTGTCTATCTCCACCTTTTAAAATGTTTGATGGCCCTCCCTTTATCACTTGCTGGGGAAGTGAATTCTACAGATTTGCAACTGTCTGAGAGAAAGCAGTTCTCTCCTCATTTCGATCTTCTCCAGGCAATTCCTTAATTTTTAAACTGTGTCCCCTTGTTCTAGGAACTCCCTGATGCAGAGCGATCTCTGTTCTGTTGCATGAATCACAAAAGTTAGTATGCAACTACAGCAAGTGATTAAGAATGCTATCCTTTGTTATGCGAGGAATTGAACACAAAAGTAAGGATGTTGTGTTTTAGTTACACAAGTCATTGATGAAACCATATCTTGAATATTGTAGATAGTAAGAACTGCAGATGCTGGAGTCAGAGATGACACAGTTTGGAGCTGGAGGAACACAACAGGCCAGGCAGCATCAGAGGAACAGGAAAGTGGCCTCTGATACTGCCTGGCCTGCTGTGTTCGTCCAGCTCCACACTGTGTTATCTCTTGAATATTGTATTCTGTTTTGGTCTCCTTCATTTAGGCAAAGTTGTAAAAACATTGGAGGTGATTCAGAGCATCTTTACTGGATTAATAGCTGGAATATGTGGGTTGCCTTGTGGGGAAAGATTGGATAGCCTGGGCTTGTTTCTACTGGACTTAAGAGTGAGGGTTAACTTGACTGAAGTGTAAAGATCCTGGGTGGACTTGAAAAGTTAGATGTAACAAGGATGTTTACTTTTGTGGGTGAATCCAAGAGTAGGGGTCACTTCTAAAGTTAGGGGTTGCCCTTTGAAGAAAGACATGGGGAGAAATTTTATTCCTGAGCATTGAGAGACTTTGGAACACTGCCTCAGAGACCGGTGGAGGTGGGATCATTGAATATTTTTAAGGTCCCAAGAATTGAGGGTTACTGAGGCTTGATGGGAATGTGGAATTCAGAACAGTAACAGATTATACATGATCTTACTGAATTAAATGAGCAAGCTTGAAGGGCCAAATTGCCTACTTCTCCTAATTTAGAATCATAGAGATGTGCAGCACGGAAGCAGATCAACTCATCCATGTTGACCAGATATCTTAAATTAATCTATTCCCATTTGCCAGCATTTGGCCCATGCCCCTCTAAACCCTTCCTATTCATATACCCATCCAGACGCCTTTTAAATGTTGTAACTGTACCAGCCTCCACCACTTCCTGTGGCAGCTCGTTCCATACATGCACCATCCTCTGTGTGGAAAAAGTTGCCCCTTAAGTCCCTTTTAAATCTTTCCCTGTCTCACCTTAAACCTATGCCCTCTAGTTTTGGACTCTTCTACCCTGAGGAAAAGACCTTGACTATTCACCCTATCATGCCTGTCATGATTTTATAAACATCTATAAGGTCACCCCTCAGCCTCTGGCGCTCCAGGGAAAATAGCCCCAGCCTATACAGCCTCTCCCTATAGTTCAAACCTTCCAATCCTGGCAATGTCCTTGTAAATCTTTTTTGCACCCTTTCAAGTTTCACGATCTCTTCCCTATAGCAGGGAGATCAGAATTGTATGCTGATAAGTTTTTACTCTATCGATCTGTGCTGTGATCCCTGTCGCAGGCTCTTGCCCATCTTTTACTCTACTGTGGCTCAGTTCTGCATTGATACTGCACGGTTCACAGAAGTGACCAAAACCCCCCAGTGTGTTTAATCACCTTCACATCCTGCTGTCTCCAACCCTGTCCTGCTCCAGTCCTCCTCCTCCTCCTCCTCCTGTTCTCAACCTTCCGTGTCCCATTGCGCAGGAGGTTGATTAATCTCCTGATTTATTCCCCCTCTTAAGGAAAACGCTTGACTTCCAGTATCCCCAGTGGCCTGCCTGAGCTCAGGAATCTTTCACACTGGGGGAATAGTCGATGCAAACACAGATGCTGCCTCTTACAGACAGCTCATTGAGGCTTGCAGCACACTTCACCTGCCAAATCTATTTATACCGTACTGTCTTTGCTTCTTTCCGAAAAGCCAGAGGGATAAGTTTTTATATTTCATTCCGGTCCAAAGATAAACAGTAAATGACCTAGTGCATTTGCAGAAGTACATTTTTACTTAAATTTCCACTGAGATTTCTTCACTTGGGTATAGGTCAGGCATGAGAGGTTTTAACATTTCAAGCATAGAGACTGAAGAGTAGTTTTAATGAAGTGACACAAAGGTTTAATCTTGAGAAAATCTCCTGTGAAAATGAATGTTCAGAGATGCGGATCTCCTTTGCCATTTTGCTCTTTCTTTCTGTGATGCTGTTCTCATGTTGTCCACTAGGTAGCAGTAACGCATAACTTTCTCTGGCTGAGTTGATTTAATGCATAAAGCCAAACTCCTCTC